TAGATAACATGTCCAACTTGTCCTGATCAAATCCGGATTCTTCGTCGAGGGCACAAGAAATGTGCAAAGCATCATCACGCTCCAGATTATAGTATAACAATCCATCTTTAATCAACACTATCTCGGAACAAAAGTTGCACTCGGTCTCTGCTTTCTGTTAGAAGCCATGGGAGATCAATTGAAGCTAGAGAGAGTGGGAGATTCAGAGAGAAAAATTCGAGAAGAAAGAGCAGAGCTTCTTCATTTCTAATAATGAACTGTACAAGTGCTACAGTATTTAACTACTAACTAATAACAAAATAACCGCTTCTTTACAAACTAACTATCCAACTAACTCTAGTTAACATGATAATTAGGCTTAACTATAGTTAACCATCAGCTTGTTACATAGCTGCTGGTCAACACTCCCCCTCAAGCTGATGATTCAAATAAGTTCTTCAGTCCAAGTTTGTCCAGTAGGTACTCATGTTGAGCTTTACCCAACCCCTTTGTAAGCAAATCAGCTAGTTGATCTTTTGTATTGACGTGTTCAGTTTTCAGTAGTCCCAGGCTAATTTTTTCTCTTACAAAGTGACAATCTATGTCAACGTGCTTTGTTCTTTCATGAAATATTGGATTAACAGCTATTTGAATTGCTGCTTTGCTATCACATATCAAGGTTATTGGCAGTTCAATCTTAACACCTAGCTCACTGAATAAGCCAGTTAACCAAGTGACCTCTGCTGCACATGAAGCCATGCTTCTAAACTCTGCTTCTGCTGAACTTCTGGAGACAGTACTCTGTTTCTTAGACTTCCAGGACACCAGTGCATTTCCAAACATGACTATATACCATGTAACAGATCTCCTTGTCTGTATGCATGCTCCCCAGTCTGAGTCACAGTAAGCAGTCAACTTACTTGAAGATTCTGCAGGCATAAGCAGTCCCAGACCTGGTGCCTGCTTTAGATATCTTACTACTCTCAATGCTGCTTCCATATGAGACACTTTAGGACAATGCATAAACTGACTAAGCACTTGTACCACAAAGGATATATCTGGCCTGGTCATAGTGAGGTAAAGCAACCTTCCTACTAGTCTTTGATATGTACCAGGATTTTTCAGCACTTCATCTGAGTTAGTATTCTTGATAATGAAACACTTATCAAATTCAGTGGTTCTTAACTTTTGGTTCAGTTCTAAGGGTGTTCCAGCTGGCTTTGCACCACTTAGTCCTGACTCAGAGATTAACTCTAGTGCACACTTTCTTTGACACATGAGAATTCCTTGTTTAGACCTTGCAAACTCAATACCTAGGAAGAACTTTAGCTCTCCTAAATCCTTCATCTTGAACCTTTTTTTGATATCAGACCTTGTTTCACACAGCAACTGTTGATTGTTTCCAGTAATCAAAAGATCATATACATATACCAATATGACTACTATATCACTCCCAGCCTTCTTTGTAAACAGAGAGTAGTCATAATGGCTTTGTTGAAACCCCATACACACTAGGGCCTCTGTTAGCTTCACATTCCATTGTCTTGGAGCCTGCTTAAGTCCATAGAGAGACTTATGAAGTTTGCAGACTCTCTTATGATTCTCCCCCTGTCTAGCAAACCCCTCAGGTATATGCATATAAACCTCCTCAATAAGATCACCATTGAGAAAGGCATTATGAACATCCATCTGAAAAATCAACCAATGTTGAGAAGCTGCTAAGGCAATAATGGATCTGACAGTAACTATCTTAGCAACAGGAGAGAAGGTTTCACCATAATCTAAACCTTCCTTTTGACTGTACCCCTTAGCAACCAGCCTAGCTTTGAATCTTTCTACCTCCCCAGATGCTTTGTACTTGACTTTATACACCCATCTGCAGCCAATGGGTGTCTTTCTAGGTGGAAGATCCACAATACTCCAGGTTTTGTTATCTTCAAGTGTATCAATCTCCAACTGCATAGCTTTAACCCACCTAGGATCAGCAGCAGCCTCTCTGAAGGAAGTAGGTTCTGTAACAGCTGAATAGGCTGTGTGAGCCTGATGATAGGCTATAATTGCATATTTTAGTCGCTTATTACACTCGAATTTACTGCACTTTAATTGAGTTTGCGCTTTAATCGCTAGTGTTTTGCACTAATTGTGTGTTTTATGCCTTGTAGGTGTGATTCCGAGCTATATAGATGTTATGGAATGAATTTAAGTGATTTGAAGCTTTGAAGTCTGAGTAAAAGCTCAAGGAATTAAGCCGGGATCGTGTTCGGTGGTCAAATGTGATAATTAAGTACGAACGAAGACTTGAAGAGGCATATTGCGCACTGTCTAGTAAAATAGACATAACATTTTTCTCCGAACTCCATTTGGGCTACACAATATATGGTTGGATAGCTAATTCAAAGGGCTACAACTTTCATGTTTTACGTTTTTCCAAATTCGGAACGGAACAGGGTGAAAACGCGCGAAGAACGTGCGAAGTCGCGCAAAGTTCGCGCGCTAAAAAGACTGAGGTAGAAAGGTGCGCGAAGACCGCGCGAAGTCACGCGTCTGACCCGGGAAAAGTGTCCTTTTTCACATTGGAGAAGGTATAATTGTTTGGGCCTAACCCTACTTGGTATATATACACGGGAGGACGCCACTTTGGGAGGATCAAACATATTTTGGAGGAGAATTCACGTGGAGGAACACATACCACGCTTAGAGGGGACATATTTTGGACATAGATTCGACCTAAGGAGGCAAGAACACATTGGGAGCAAGGCGGAGAATTCTTCTACGAGTTTTTCCTTCCTCTTCCTATTTTTCATTGTTGGTTATGACTTTTAGTATTGTAGTTTTACATACTATTATGAATAGCTAATTTGTTATCTAGAGTTTTGATAGAACCTTTTGTAGGATAAATTCTTGTTATGTTTTTATATAATTGAGCCATAGCTTTTCTCTATTTGTTCAACTACGTTTATATTGTGGTTGGTTGAAGAGCTCTCAATTAGCTGTGCCTATTTAGTATGCATAACTCAGGAGAGAGTGCATATTTAGGTAATTGTTGAACAACACCACTCCCAGAGTATATGAGGGATCAATAACCGAGGGTTTAAAGGTGGGATTAGGGATAACGAAGCCTTGGGTGCGATCTGAAGTGAGCTGTATTAAAAGCCAGCTAGCGTAGCTCGGGAGAGTGCGTCTAGTAAATTGTCGTAATTACTCGGGAGAGAGTTACGGTAATAAGAGTGCTCATGATCGGTAGAGAATACTTAGGCGAAATTATAGAAGACATAGCGGGAAGGATTCCGAAAATTGGGGAAATCATAACTCTAGACCTCCTTAATCTTTTCTCTAACCCTCAGTATCGTTAGTTGTTAACTTACTATTTTAATTTGTTAGTTAAGTAGTTAAACACAAGAATCTTAATATCTATAAGTTAGGAATTGTTCAAGCTTTTCTTCTTGGTGATAGTGAACAGCTGTAGCTAAACCTTAGTTCTCTGTGGGATTCGACTCCGGACTTGTAAACCGGATTATATTTGCAGCGACCGCTTAGTCCTTTTTATAAGGCATAGTTGGGCGTGATCAGAGCCTGTCTAAAAGTTGGAGAGATATGTGAATAATCAACATAAGAAGAAATAGGATAAATGCATTTTGAGCCTTTAGAAAGGGTGACATAATCCTGCAACCACACAGGTGGTTTGCTTGGTCTGGAGGACCTCCTGCACCCTTCAAGATTTTCAGCAAGATCAGACTGACCAACAGATGACTCAGCATAGTTATTATCTTGAAGACCAGGCATAGTAGAGGAGATAAATTCAGAATCTACTCTATCTGGAGAGGAAGAAGGAACTTCTGTAGAACAATCAGATGGCATTTGATCTGCAGCAGGTTCAGTGGACCTTTAAACTGTAGGTGTTAAAGAGGATGTAGAAGAAGTAGAAGAGGTAGAAGAAGTAGAAGTAGTAGAGGAAATAGAAGAAGTATTCAATTCAGGAGATAATAGATCTAAAACAGGAAACACCATGGTTCCTGGATTCCTAGTATGCTTGAAAGGAAATATAGCTTCATGGAATATCACATTCCTATTAACTACAAGCTGCTTGGCATGTAGATCATACAGTCTATATCCCTTTTGAGTAGAAGAGTAGCCTAAAAACACAGCTGGTACTGTCCTAGGAAAGAATTTATCAGGGACTTTAGGAGAAGTAGAGTAGCACAGACAACCAAACACTTTGAGATGAGACAGAGATGGTGGATGTAGATACAGCCTTTCAAAAGGAGATTTGTTTCCAATCACCTTAGAAGGTAGCCTGTTCAGAAGATACACTGCTGTATTAACACATTCTCCCCAGAATTTTAAAGGTACAGATGCTTGAAATCTGAGAGATCTGGCCATGTCTAAGATGGTTCTGTGTTTCCTTTCCACTACCCCATTCTGTTGGGGTGTGTAAGTACAAGTACTCTGATGTAGAATACCAAGATCAGACACTAAATTCTTGAATGCAGTGCTAAAGAATTCACTCCCATTGTCTGTTCTTAGAGTTTTAACAGTAGTAGAAAACACATTGTTTACTTGAGTAAGAAAATCTTTTAGAACTACTATTGCTTCTGATTTGTAGTTCAAAAGAAATATCCAAGTAAACCTGCTATAGTCATCAACTATGGTAACAAAGTACCTTTTACCATCATAAGTGGGTACTCTATATGGACCCAAAATATCACAATGAACTAGCTCAAAAATAGACTTGAAAGTAGAATTACTTAGCTGAAAGGGCATCTTAGTTTGCTTAGCAACAGGGCATACAGTACAGGGCTGATTAAGAGCTCCTGTTGTCAGGTCATCCAACCCTTCTATCTTCCTTATTACATCTATAGGAGCATGTCCCAATCTCTTATGCCACAAACTACAACTACTAGAAGTATGTGTTCTAGATGTATTACTGGAAGTAGATGCATCATTTGCTGAAGCAGCAGAAACAGCAGAAACTCCATTTGTTGTGTTAGCACACTTATTTGTTGGCTGAGACACGTTTGTAACAGATGTACTCCCACGTAGTATGTATAAACCATGTTCTTCTCTACCAATCCCCTTCACCTGACCACTGAAGAGGTCCTGAAAGATATAGAAATCAGGAAAGAAGCCAACCATACATTTTAGTTCCTTAGTAAGCTTTGAAACTGAGAGTAGGTTGAACTTAAAGTCAGGAATATACAGAACATTAGAAATTTCATGATTGCTCAGTACAGTAGCATTTCCTGTGTGTAACACTGATGCTACACTACCAGTAGGTAATTGAACTTTGTTTTCTTCTGTGTTTGGGAGTGCTTTACAATCATGTAGTATTTCAAGGCTGGAAGTCATATGGTTTGATGCACCAGTGTCAACAATGAGACATAAATGCATTCACTTTGTTTAGGATACCTGCAGCTGTTGACTTGTTTAAAGCTTCTGATCCTTCTGTGCTTCCTTTAGATAACAGGTGAACTATCTGCTGATACTGTTCAGGAGTAAACGCAGGAGTAGTCATAGGCATTTGCTGACAGAATGTAGGCTGACTAGCTGGCGGAAGTTGTGAAGCCCCTACAGCAGATTGATTACCACCTCTGCCTTGTTGAACCACATTAGAAGCTACATTATTTCCTGCATAGTTCAGTTCTGGGCTGTACACCTGATTAGCATACTGTCCACCACTAACACCTTTCTTCTTGGACTTGAAATCAGGAGGATATCCAACCAATTTATAACAGTTTTCCTTGCTATGTCCCTTGTAATGACAATATTCACATTGAACTTGACTCCTTTTCTGTTTATAGCCCCCAGTGTTATTTGTCCCTTTGTTGCTATACATGGCTAAATTCTCCAAAGCTTCAGAGACTTGAGCTACTTATGGCATATTAACAAGATTTCTCTGACTTTCCTGATCAACTAGCATGGAGTATGCTCTATTTATACTAGGAAGAGGAGACATCATCATAATTTGGCTTCTTGACCGAGAGTAGGACTCATTTAGTCCAGTAAGAAATTGAAGCAGTCTTTGATACTCAAAATGTTGAGCATACATCTTTGATTCAGGACAGGGACATCCAGGGCATGGCATAAGGGCATCAAACTCATCCCAAAGTTCTCTTAGTTTTGAGAAATAGTCAGTCACTGTCATAACTCCTGAGTCAAGGTATAAACTTCTCTATGTAGGTACAGAATTCTGGAGCCATTGACTTTGTCAAATCTCTCCTTTAAATCTTCCCATACTTATGAGCACTCGATGCATACAAGACACTACTCAACAAGCCCGGTCTCACAGCATTCATTATCGATGACAAAACAATAGCATTTACTTTCTCCCACAAATCATGAAGTTCAGGTTCAAACCTAGACTTAGGAAACCTACCAACAACAAAACCTAACTTGCTTTTACCTAACAAGCCAATTCGCATTGCACGACTCCACAAGGCGTAATTATCAGATCCAGTAAGCTGAAGAGAGATCAGAGAACTACCTGGTGTGTCATTAGGCTGTAGAAACAAGGGATGGTTGTGATCGACGGCAGGAAATGAGGAGCTGGTCACAAAATTACCATTCTCTGAAGTCGTAGTTGTAGCAGTACGAACTGGAGTAGTGGAGATGTTAGCTTGATTATCCTCGATTGCCATTGATACTGAAAATTAGCTTCGAAGAAACAATTTGCAAAACCCTAACTTCGATTCTGAGCTACTCTGAGGCAATTCTGCAAATTTGAGATGCAAAAAATTGCAGTAACCTAAGCGAAGAAATTAGTTTGCACGTTCAATTAGATCTTATACCGATGGCTCTGATACCATGTTAGAAGCCATGGGAGATCAATTGAAGCTATTGAGAGATGGGAGATTCAGAGAGAAACATTCGAGAAGAAAGAGCAGAGCTTCTTCATTTCTAATAATGAACTGTACAAGTGCTACAATATTTAACTACTAACTAATAACAAAATAACAGCCTCTTTACAAACTAACTATCCAACTAACTCTAGTTAACATATAATTAGGCTTAACTATAGTTAACCATCAACTTGTTACATAGCTGCTGGTCAACACATTCTCGTGTTTGAAAGGCAATGAAAAGAAGAGCTCGTAAGATACATTATCTGCCATGGTCAACGTCTTGGGAGCTCCAACGCAATAAAACTCAATACTAAATTTACATGGGGCGCAATAGTATGCCATTCCACGATATTTGAAATCAGCAAGGCAGCCCGAACATTTGAGATCCTCCTGCACAAGATCTAAGAAACGAGTAAATTTAAGAGGGTGTTGAGGATGAGACATATGTTGAATCTTGGATGGAATGGAAAAGCAAATCTTATCAATAAAGTAATTGCAATCACTGCAAAAGTAGCCAGAGGAATCAGCAAAGTTGCACAAGCTGCAGCTCAGGGGCATCTCGAGGTTATATTCCTTGAGAGCATGGCTATGACTGAAATGTGTGACGCCCCCACATGGCTGACTTGAACGAGCAGGAGGACGATTCGTGATCGCCAGAGATTTCACTCGGTTTTGAAGCTTTCCCATGGAATCTTTCTCCATTCCATATTCGGCTACAGCAGCACAGTCGAAGTGACACAAGTAATCATGATCACGGTTGTAAAATAACCAGCAACCCGAAGTAGGAACAGCTTTAGCACAAATGGAGCAACAGGAGTAGCAGCCTCACTAGTTATTGGAAAGGAAAGGAACCGACGAAGAGGGTATTTCACTTTTTTGGTTCAGGGCTATGGGTATCGAAGCACACTCAACGTGTAGATTGAAATTGCAAGACTCGCAGCAATAGTATGATTGGAACAGGAATTCATAAGAATCACCACAACCACATGCATGGCAATGAAACTGCTCTCGGCCGCTTCTGGATTGAAAGGGCCTGAGAATAAGAGTGTGGTCAAAGCCGGGGTGAAAATCATGGCGAATTTCTCTAGGGAAATTACTACACAACTCATGAAGGTAATAACTACACTGCTTATCGCAAGCATAAGCTCGACCAGAGATGATGATATCACAAAAGTTGCACTTGATTCCTTCACTCTCTAGAAGGTGCAACCGCAGCAACAAATGACGATGGCTGAAATGATTCAAAACACCCTCGCGAGGAGGATATGTTAGCATCAGAAAAAGAAGATCTTAGTAACTGACTCATTCGCAGTGACCGCCCTCCGCTGCGGGCATTGGGCTTAGCTTCATTCATTTCTGCTCTGTTTTTATTGTACATCTCAAATTTGCTGCACCTTCCATGGGGATAGCCAACGGTTTTTCCTGTCGTAATGAAAGAATATATGAGTGGCGTTCAATTTGGTAAGCGATGAGTATGTATATATACAGCTCTTTGTCTACTCTCTCTCTGTTTTGGGAAGATTAACCGTTTTGATTTAAGAATTCTTGTTAAGTTCTCAACAATACTGATACTCATGATATCGAGACTAAATGCATTTAACTTATTACGAATGTGCTTTGATTTCTTCAATCGGCACTAGCAAATCCCTATAAGTTTTACAGATTAAACGAAGCTAAATTAATGACATGCTTTTACCTCAAAATTTTTCTCTTTCTCAATGCTAATTAATCAAAGCACCTCCCAATACTGAACTATGCATATTTCTGGTATTTCACTTTTAGCATGATTGGTCAAGTTGGAAATATCTGCTCATTTTGAGAAGTGCGTTTTTTTCAAAAATAATTTTTTGAAAAGTACTTTTGGTGAAAAGGAGTTTGTGTTTGGCTAATTAATTTGAAAAATACTTTTATGCAGCAATTAGTGTTTGATCAAGCTTTTAAAAAGATTCGTGTATATATTTTACAGAAACGTGAAATCAAAGTAGGCGATAAAGTAGCTGGAAGACACGGAAATAAAGGTATCATTTTCAAAATTTTGCCTAGACAAGATATGCCTTATTTACAAGATGGAAGATCCGTTGATATGGTCTTTAACCCATTAGGAGTACTTTCATGAATGAATGTAGGACAGATATTTGAATGTTCACTAGGGTTAGCAGGGAGTCTGCTAGACAGACATTATCGAATAACACCTTTTGATAAGAGATATGAACAAGAAGCTTCAAGAAAACTTGTGTATTCTTAATTATATGAAGCCAGTAAGCAAACAGCGAACACTACCAAAAAAATGCTATTTTCCGACTATAGATTCCGACTACAAAATAGTAGTCGTAATTTTCCTATTACAGTAGTCGAAAAAGTATAATTTATTTTTTTAATTTTTTTTTACTTTGTAGGCGACTGCCTTTTCGACTGTATTAGTCGTAAAATTTGGCGCAAAATCCCGCGAATTAATTTTTCCGATCACTATAATCGGGATAAAGTCAATAATAAAATTTGACCAATCTTCCGACTACAGTAGTCGGAAAATTAAAAATTAATTTTTAATTTTCCTTCAAATAAAAAAGGAATTTCCAACTATAGTAGTCGGAAAAGTAAATGATTGCACAAATTTCATGATCACAATTTTAATTAAAAAGTCAACTAAAATAAAAAATAAGTTAACAGAATTTGAGCAAAATAAAAAAGAAATTTCCGACTACAGTAGTCGGAAAAATAAAATAACTACAAATTTAGGTTTTATTTCGCTCATCTCCTTTCTTTTTTCTGTCTCCTCTCTCTCTCACCGCCTAACCTGCTCTCAACCACTCCGCTGCCACCGTCACTCCACTTCGGTAAGTATTTCTAAAGGCATATCAGTTGAAGTATATTCTTATCTGATCAATCAAAACTCATTCCCAAAATAAAGAAGTTAAGCTTCTTCCAAAGTATATCAATTTTTTGGAAGTTGATGATGTCAATGAAATATATTGACAAGAGGAACAACGTACTTATTAGTCATAACATCTGATGGAATTTCTTTTCCTTATGCGTTTGGTTTCTCTAGGGAAATAAATTTTTATCAGAATTTTCGAAAAGTGATAATATGTGTTTTACAGTAAAGTAAATTGCAAGTTAAAAGAAGGTAAGTGACATATTAAGTTGTTGTATTTTAGTGCAAGAAAATTTAATTTTCAGGAAAAGTATAAGAGGTACTTGGAAGGTGGTGTTTATTGAAATTGTTATGCTAAACCTTACCTTTTGGGCAAAAGTATCTTAAGGTAGCAATTTGTGTATTCTTGTAATTTTAAGATAAAATTTTATACAGATATTTTTGGATGTTAATTGTGTGATCATGGTCTGGCAATTTGTGTATAGGAATTCTCCAACAAGTGGAAGTTGCGGGCTACAAGGCAAAGGGAAGATAACATTTTGGTTAGCAATTTCATTGTTATAAGGTACGAAACCATTACCAATTTGCAATTTCTAACTAATTGATTGCTTTCACATGTTCAAAACCAATTTGAGTATTAGAATAAACTCTAACAGTTGAATTGGTTTTGTTATTTATCTGTATTGCTGTAAGTAAATAAAACAGTAATCTTTCTGAAAAATAAAACAGAAAGTTAGTAGAAACAATTCTGAAAAATAATATTCGAACTTCAAAATAATTTTTGAAACGTTGAAGGAACAAATCGAGCCCACTGAATACACAGTGTGTCCTTAAGGAAATTATTCCTCTCAAGTACCCGAGGTTACGGAATATATCCTCCCAGGATAGAACGATTTAACTCACCGGAGTGTTGGTACCAAAAACGCCGATGATGAGCGAACCACTCGATAGCAGCAAAACACACTGGAATTTTAGTGCAGAAAAAGAAGAAGATAATCAGAAAATTTCGTAAGTAAATATTCTGGGATTTGAAGGTCTATTTATAGCCAACTTGGTGATGTTTCTGAAGAGGTTTGCAACCTTTCAGAACAGTCATGGCTGTTGGAACAGGTGTGACCCTCT